AGATCTCATGGGGAAAAGGAAAGTGTAGTTTTGTTCTTCTCCCCTCTTATCTGTAAATTAGCTTTCCCCTGCTGTGCTGCATAGTGCTAAATTGGTTCCAACCTGCAATCTGAGCTTTTATAGCTTTATGGTGAGAAACTCAAGGAAAAAGGGAAGGATATTACCTCTCCTATCCTCTCTCTTAAAACATTGTAGGAAGCAGAAAGATTAAAAACACACCCACACTCAAACCTACCATGATATACATTCTTTGTCTACAAACACTTCTACCTCTAATGGTTTCCCCCAGGATTACTAATTAAAACTGTATAAAGTAGTACATCATTTTTTGTAATATTCACTGTAGTTAGATGCCTATGTGAAACATGCAGTGTATATGATATAGTGCGGGATCCTGGATAAGATGCTTTTTAAACCAGAATATATCACAATCTGACCTATATATAATCATATTAAGTACCCTGTTTCCCCCCAAATAAGACACTCCCTGATAATAAGCCCAATTGGGCTTTTGAGCACATGGCAATAAGGCCAAGCGCTTATTTCAGGGTTCAAAAAAATATAAGACAGGGTCTTATTTTCGGGAAAACACGGTACATGTTACTATGAGGAGTCCTTGGTGCTCTCTGAGTTTAGTTGTTTTTCTTGCAGATGTATCTTTACCCAAACTAGGTAACACCATCAGTGCTAGTCCCAGTGCTAGTTTGGGTAATGAAACTTCTGCAAGAAAACAACCAAGCTCAGACAGCCCTCCAGCCCGCCCCCCCATTTCACCCTGAGCTACAAATATTCTCCTTTATTGGTACTTACGTTGTATATCTAAACTGTCCTTCATCATTGCTTTTACCAGGAATATGTATAAACTTAAGAAACAAAACTTAATGGAATAAAAGTAACAACACAAGAAATAGAAAATATACTACTGTACAGAACAGAAATATTGGATTTCTATATTTGTCTAATTTACTGTTATCAGAACTAGCAAAAATGAAAGGGTTTGGGGTAGTCTGTATCAACTGGTATTAAAAATCCCCAAACTTAAAAGTGTTTTTATCCACAGTGGTGAGTGATCATTATATACCTGGTCTGGTATGCAGAGTATATGCAGGCAGCCACTAGGTTGTGTTAATGATTTGGATTGTTGTTTCTTGGCTATTTGTATTTCAACTTTTGTAGCGTTTGTAATAGGCAGCAGGCAGAAGTCATGGGAAATAGATAGTGGAGGCAAGGGTGAAAAGAGGATGAAGCTGCAAATTGAAACAGACAAGGTCATCAAAAGCTAGAGGCTGCTTTTTTAGAAACAGTTATAAATTAGGAAGATCAAAAACCTGAAATTTGACTCAGGTAGAACCATCCTTAATTATTCTTTGTCATTTTGAATTCTTCTCTAGAATGTTATTAAATTTTTAAAAAATTGTAGTACTGCCAGTACTACATGCCAGTTCAGAGATTAAACAATGTCTGAGTTTGAATGCACTTCTAGAATTCCACTTCTCGGGGTCTGATGAAAACACTGCATATATTTTCAAACCACATTTAATATATCTTTTAGAGTTTCTTTTTAATTAAGCTTGATTTTGTTCATTTCTTATGAGTTTGTTTTGTTTTCAAAAAGGAGTGAAGAAAAATAGCTAAAATCTCTAGAAAACACCACCATGATACAGAGCCAGATAGTTTCTATGGAACGTTTTTAATTTTATTTTTCATTTTTTAATCTTTGTATTTGCCAGAATGGCAGTACAGATTGTGGAAACGCTATCATTCTCACAGATGAGATTTATACATTGTAACTTAAATTGCTGTGTTAATATAGAAGATTATCTAAGTATGGTAAGCTACCTGTGAATTTTGTTAAGCTAATAAATGCTCACAAAAGAGTATTTACCTCTTATCTCATGGTACATCTATTCTATAACAATTTCTTTTCCACAGTTCCTTAACAAGAGTTTGCAAATGGCCCAGAATTACAGTACCTTCATTATTGTAGGCTTTGCAGCACCAAGCACAAGACAAAAATACTTGAGGTAACACAGGTCCTCTAGTAACAAAAATCCTTCCTCAAAAGGGGAAGGTTTTACTCAAAAGGTTTGACTCAAAAAAGGTTTTACTCAAAAGGGAAAAACTAAAAATCCAAGCAATCTGGGCTAGGTCCCCTGCTGAATATTAAAAGAAAATTTGCAGGAATCTTGTTGCTTTTAATTCTACATGTTTATTTGGGTCTTAAGGCCTTTAAAGGACGTGCTACTGTAGCTAAAATTCAGGAATCACAAGAAAGGGTGAAGAAATCATGGTTTCCATTGTTTCTACTGACTAACTTCCACAGAGTTCTAGGGTTTACCAGATAAACCTGACTTCACAGCAATTAATTCTGTACTACAACAAAGTTGGAAATAACCAACCAAACCCCTGCCCTCCAAAAGCAACATTTGGGGATTGTAAGAAGAGAAGCAGATATGGGAGTGGCACAAACACTAGGTGGAAATGTTCCGAGTGGAATGTAGGGAAGTACACAATGCCAGATCGTGCCATTCTGGCACAGCACCCTCTGTACATCTCTCGTTTCAAAGGAATTTTTCCAATTTGCCACTACATTATAGATTAGGTTATATTGTTGTTTCCATGGCATTTTGTGGCTGCTTGTTGTTTTCTGTCCCTCCCTACAGCATACTACTTTCTTCTATTGCCTGTTTATTTCTCAGAAAAAGCCACTCTACAAGGCCTCTATGCATTGATGTCCAAAATGCATTATCTTTTATAGTTTTGCAAACTATATGGATTGTGCAGTCTTAATTTTAGACTTGTCTTACATAGGGACAGGAAAATGAATGATTATTTAGAATGAGGGTTCCAGCTGAGTGGGCCCAGAAAACTTGAACCCATTCTGATTGTAGAGTCTGTAGCGAAACCATCGAAGTTTAATAGAAATCACAGCTGGAGAGAAATCTTCTTGCCAAATAGGATGAGCTTCTTCACTTTTTTTCCTTGCAAAAAATTGTTTTATTTTAGCTTCACTGCTGTAATTAAGGGGCAGCTTAGTCTAATTCCATTACCAAAAAGGTCATTGAACTAGCTAGAGTCTCCTTGTAGTCCCACTGGGAGTGTATGAAAGAGACAATATATTAAGTATGTTTAAGAAATTAGGAGAGATGGGCTAGGAAAAGGAAAAAAATGTTTGGAAGGAGAGAAACCCAATCTCTATTACAGGAACAATATTGTAGCAATTTAAGAAATACCTTCCTAGTGTCAACTGAGGTACGATCAGCTTGGTATTTTATATCATAATGAGCAGATCGAGATGTGTGATCTACTTCTGTTTTCCAGCAGACTCCTGAGATTCACTATCAGAAACAAGTGCAAATTAATCATTCTGGGAATAGACAAAATTGTAGAAAAGAGCATATCTGAACTTGAGCTCAGCCTAAGAATGTATTTTCAGTTCCAGAACAGATGTCTGTTTATGTCTTTACACATAAAAACACATGCTAATTTTTTCTCAACCACCTTCATTTTAGCAGCTTGAGTATTATGTTATTGGTATGAGAGAAAGCTAATTTGTTATAACAGTGGATCCAAATTTATTTTCTGCCCATTCATTATAGTTAATAATAGCAAATGTTATTTGAGCTCCATTCTTTATTAAACCAAATTAGCACCATTAGCACTAAATTTATAGTTTTGGAAAGTTATTCTTTAATTTGTCATATTTTTTATTATCAAATTAGGGAGGAACGATCTTTTTCTCTCATACAATGTATTAAAATAACTTGGCTGGCAAAATGCCTTTGGGTTGCCTTGATTGATAGGAAAGACACCATGTTGATGGATTTTCAGGTCTTTTAGGTGAGCAATTCAACACACCCAAACAGTACAATCAAATAATTCCTTAATTCCCATACCTATTCAAAGTTATACAAGAATAAGCATGCATAAGTACTAACATAAGGTTAGAGCAGGGCAGTTAAATCTGATTATTCCAATTTACTTAGAAAAGTACTGTACAAGTGAACTTCAAAGTTTATTATAGAAAAGGGAAGCCAAGACAGTTTTAGGTGATTGATACTTCTTGATAAGGAATAGCATAAATGTTGGTTGAATAGGTTTTTTTAAAAAAAATCCTCAAATTTAAGCATATGACTTTGACAAGTTTTAATTAAATTACATGTTAAAATAGTTTGAGATTGCCACCAGTGTCACCTTCAGCTCCTTGTCTTTCTAAGTAGCATGAAGCCAGTTCTGGACTTGATTGGGTAATATGTATTTTGCCAAATACATATATCTTTTGACAAGAAGGCCAGCTGCTTTTTCCTAGGTAAACCCTACAGAAGAGTCTCAGTTCCAAGGATTTAGGTTTATTCATCCGTTTTACATTGGAATCTCAATAATCAGTCATTTGGGCTAATGGCCTTTTATTAATTTGTCTTTTGTTCTGAATCAGATTACATCGTTCACTAATCATCTCACATTTCCACTCCAAGAAGCTTAACAGAAAGCTACATAAATTGCAATAAATTTCTGCCCCAAAAATAGAGAAAGCCTATCTGTAGTCGAATGTCTGAGTCAAACAGTGAGCCACTGCAATATGTTTATGAAATAAATTATACCAATAATGTATCTTTTATGAAGCGTACCTTAATTCTTGACAATTATTTCCCCAGTGGCTTTCTTAAAGTTGTAGCATGTACAATCTTGTACTGTGGAAATGGAAATGAAATGCCGTTGCTGCTTAGGAAAGCATTAATTTGTAATCACAGGTAGTCTTGTTAGAAAAAAAAATAACATGATTAAAAGCAGTTTAGGGAGCAAGCAAGTGAAGAGGCTAATGATCGTACACAGTTTTTTGGCCATGGTGAGACAGCACTATTTCTTTGAAATGTAAAAGTATATTAATGAATTAGATCCTTCAATTTAAAAAAATGCTGTTTTGTAAATGACACAAGGAGTGTGAAATGGTATATCATGCATGGTTTGCAATTGATTTCCCTTTTCTTAATTTTTAATAGATGCACATGGATTCTCAGGAAGCAACAGAAAGCAAAGCAGGAGAGACAAATACCACGAACTTGCATCTGCTTCCTTTCTGGAGCAATCATCTAAAAAAGAATCAATAATAGATGGTAGGATTTCTTTGAAAGACAAACATCTACCCAAAGGTACATCAGAGTCCAAAGTTCAAGCTTTCCAAAACCAAAAGTTTTCTGATCTTGCACACCACATCAAGATATCATCAAAATCATTACTGGATGAAAATGATTGTAATAGGAAAGTTCTGTGCTCCAAAGGTAAGCATAGCTTAAGTTATAAGGAGTTAAATTTTACATTATAATTAAATGGCACAATATTGTGCTAGGAGGTTTGTCTGCAACTGTCTGCTTTGAAAGATTTGCATTGGATTGCAATTGATTCCCATGCATTTATATAAAATCAGGAAGTTGTCCATGGTCTTTAGCAGATGTCCCCAAACTCCTATCAACTCCTTAGTATCATTTTGTTCATTGATCTACATCAGTTGTATGAAAATAATTTAATAAATGCTACTTTAAGTACTACTACTACTATTATTACTACTACCACTACCACTACTACACTACTACTACTACTACTACTACTACTACTAATAATAATAATAATAATAATAATAATAATAATAATAATAAATGATACTCTAGAAAGAGTGCACAGAAGAGCAGCAGACTGGAGGCTAAAACATATGAAGAACAGCTGCAGTAATTGGGTATGTCTAGTGTAATGAAAAGAAGGTTTAGGGGTGACATGATAATAGTGTTCCTCTATCTAAGGGACTGACACAAAGAAGAGGGGGATCAACCTATTCTCAAAGCATCTGAGGGCAAGAAATAAAAGCAAGGGATGGAAACTAATCAAAGAGAGAACCAACCTAGAACTAAGGAGAGATTTCCTGACAGTTAGAACAATTAATCAGTGGAATGACTTGCCTCCAGAAATTGGGTTCCAACACTAGAGGTTGTTAAGAAGGGATTGGACAATGATTTGTCTGAAATACTATATGGTTTCCTGATTGAGCAGGGGATTGGAAACCTCCAAAGTCTCTTCTGACTCTGTTATTCTGTTAATACCCCACCGAGGCATTACCTTGACATGGTTGCAAGAGGTTCAGCTATACTGGACAGTGGACAGGTCTCATCAGAGGTCCTTTCAGAGAAACCATACAAAGAATGTATGTCTTATAAACAATATGGTGAAAGGAAATTTACAGTAACCCATACTGGATGAGCTATTGCATAAGTCAGCAAGGACCATGCTAGATGTTGGATTCTATGGACATCTGGTGACAAATGGTCTAAAGGGATCAGGAGAATTGGCTGAGCAACCAGGGCCAGCAGCTGCAGCACTATTGAAATAAAAGCTGTTTACCCATTGCAAATACAGAAATATACAAAGATTGAAAACAAAGAAATAATCATTTCTTATCACAAACCAAATATAACACTAAGAGGATATCTGAAAACAATGTACCAGTTCTGGAAATAACAACATCCAGAATCAGAAATAACAGAACAAGGCTAGCAGATCAATATCGATTTATACAAATAAAGTATTCACTGAAACAGAATTGGAAGAACTGCAAAAGTCTATCCAGAGTGAAGAAAAGAAAGCCTTGCCAGAAGTAACGCAGACTGTAGAGGCAAACTAGGGGAAGTTAGCAGTAGAAGAAGTTAGCACATTACCAAACCAGGCACCCTGATCTCTGCTTTCTCCTCAGAAAGAATAAAACCCTCTAAAAAAAGATTTGAAACAAAGAATAATTGAACAACTAGAACAGAATTCCCCAACCTTTCCAGCTTTGCAGACCGGTGGGCGGGAGGGGATGGCTCCAGGAGAGCAGCGAGCAGTGGGCAAATGGAGCTGTGTGTGCACAGCTCCATTTACGTGAGTGGCAAGCATGCATGCCCACTGTCTGCACAAATGGAGCACATGTATGCTTGCCCCCTGCTTATGGCAAATGATGCATGCACACTCGCCTGCCACTTCAGGCCTGGTTCTGAACAAGTCTAGGACTGGTAGTGGGCCATGGCCTAAGGGTTGGGGATCCCTGATCTAGAACAGCACAAAAGGACAGAAAGAGATTGTCTGCATTGAAGTTTGTTCCAAAGAAATAGCTAGCACAATTATTAAATGATGCCAATACCATAATATCAAATATAAGAATCAGCTCACTGCAAAGAATAACACAAGTAATGTATAGCACAGCTGCTGTTATAATGGAATATCTTGGATACAAAATCAAGAAGAGCCATACAGTGCACCACAAACATGGAAAATCAGGCATTTAGTTGAAAATAAGCTCTTTCCATCTGAGCAAAATGGAAATTGCCCAAAGAGCAGAGAAACAAAATATCAATTCCTAATTGATAAGATGATTTTGGAAAATTGCAAGAGGAAGGAGACCAACTTAAATGTAGCTTGGACTGATTATAACCATGATGGTGAACCTATGGCATGCATGCCAGAAGTATATGTGCGCCAGGGAGCTGCTCTTCCAGTTTCCGGCACTCCTGCACATGGGAAGACCAATTGGCCGGCGCGCACACCAGCCATCGCCCGTTGCTTTTCCAGGTTCCGGCCTGCACATGCGTGCTAGCCAATTGGTCTTCACACAGGGAAGCTGAGCTTCCGGTTTCTGGCACATGCATGCCCGCCGGCCAGCTGGTCTTTGTGAGCACATGCATGCCAGAAACGGAAGACCGGGTGACTGGCACACATGCTTACGCAAGAAACCGGAAGCTCAGCACACACCGAGGAACTGCTCTTCCAGTTTCTGGTGTTCCCGCGTGCGCACACACGCACACTCCCGTTTTGGCACTTGGTGCTGAAAAGATTTGCCAACACTGGATTATAACAAAGCATTTGACTCCTTACCACATGACTGGATACTCAAGTACCTAAAATAATAGAAATAAAAATAGAAATGTTATTTCAGTAGAAATAACAAAAAAATTGTGCAAAGTTCAGAACAGCCAAGATATTGCAGTGGAGTTTGGATTTGACAAATATGCCATCCTTACCATCAACCAGGGAAACAATGGCGTCTGGAATCAAGATGCCTTATGGAAATAATATCAAGGGTCTGGATGAAGAAACTACAAATATCTGGCCTTCCTTCAAGCTGACAACATCAAGGATACTGAAGTTAGGAAGGTTAGTAGTGAATATATCATGAGAGTGAAGAAGATATTAAAGTCCAAACTCAGTGGAGGAAACACTATCAAGCAATTAACACCTGGGCAATTCCATTCATTAGATACACAGCTGGAGTTATGGACTGGGCTCAAGCAGAACTAAAAACCCTGGATAGGAAGACCAGAAAAAATAATTACAATGAATCATGCCTTTCATCCCCGCAGCAATGTTGGCAGACTCTACTTACCAAGGAAAATAGGTGGGCAATGGAATGTTGCAAGTACACCAGTGAAATAAAGATATTAGAAGAGTATCTGAGGTGAAGAAGCTGCACTGAAGCTAGTATACCGTGAAGGTTGATTGAGTACTGGAGAGACCAAACTGGCCTAGAAGAAAGACCAAGTGAAGAATGGAATATAGAAATGGCAAGCAAAACATTACATGGCCAGTACATTAAAAAAATAATAGCAGGCAAAGCAAATAATAAGGCCTGGCAATGGATAAGAGCATGAAAGTTTAAGAAAGAGCCTGAGGGCTAATTCTGCCTTTACAAGACAAAGCCTTAAGAACAAAAGCATACAGAGAATGCATCCCAGAATTGAGAAGACAGTAAATGCAACTTCTGCAAAGAAGCTGAAGAAATAGTTGACCATCTTTTTAGCTGCTGCAAGAAGACAGAACAGACAAACAGTGGCATGATAAAGTAGCAAACGGTGCATTGGAAGAACTGCAAGAAATACCATTTGCCTGCAAGCAATAACTAGTGGGACCACAAAATAATCCAAGCAATAATCAATAAAGTATTTGGTACTGTTCCCAAAAAGCTGCAGAACACATAGTTTGCTTATTTGCTGGTCTGAAAAAGTTTCTAGCATGCACAAAATAATTTCTTTGCTGCAACTGACTCTTGTGTTAGGTTTATTGTCAGCGTGGCAAGAAAGGCATTAATGATGCTTTATTTGTTATTCTAATTAAACCTGCATTTTTAGTGAGAAGCTCATATCGTATTTTGTAAATGGCTATTTGAATTTCAGATACAACTTCCTCTCTGAATTAATAAATTAAGCGAGAAAATGTTGATCATAAAAGAACTGTTAATCAGGATAATAAATAATGAAAACAACTTAAAAATCTGACTAGATTAATTTATAATGAATTAGTATCATGTTTTAATATTTATTTTATTAGTTTCTCATCTATTAGTAATAGCACTTTAGGGGGTATAATTGCCAGAGAAAGAATAATCCAGAATATAAATATATTCTATCCATCATTAGTGAAGCAACTAAAGTTAGATCAAAACATTCCATATATGATGTTATGAGTAGAAATGTGTAATTGGTGTAGACATATGCCATAAACTCTGTTGAATTCTTTGAGGATTTTGAGAATGCTCCACCACACTGACCACCTCACTGACTTTGCAGTAGATGAACATTAGTATTAAGTACAGTTACTGAAAGTATTCTGGTGAATGTTGCATGCAACATGGCCCTTGCTTTTACAATGAGCTTCCATCAGAGGAATTCAAATTTTAAAAACTGGATAAAATTATGTACTGTATGTCAAAGGATTAAAGTAAAATTATCTGCATCAAAATAAGTTGTTGCAATTTTCATTAGTTGTTACATAAATTAGAGGTTGGATATAAATCCCTAGTGCTGCATAACAGGGTGAGCTCCTATTACTTGTCCCAGCTTCTGCCAACCTAGCAGTTCGAAAGCACATAAAAAATGCAAGTAGGAAAATAGGGCCCATCTTTGGTGGGAAGGTAACAGCATTCTGTGCACCTTTGGTGTTTAGTCATGTCAGCCACATGACCACAGAGAAGTCTTTGGACAGCTCTGGCTCTTTGGCTTTGAAACGGAGATGAGCACTGCCCCCTAGAGTTGGGAACAACTAGTACATATGTGCGAGAGGAACCTTTACCTTTTTATAAAGCTTTTAAATTACAAGAATTTGCAAACATAAATCATTAGGACAATTTACAGTTCAAAACAAATGAGAACTTCCAGTCTAGGATATTGCCTAACTAATGTGAAATGGGTAGTAAAATAAATAGGATTTTTAGCACTTCTCACATTTCTTGTTAGAAATGATTAAAAGTAGCTGTCAAAAGTATGAACTGCAGGCTGAACTTTCTGATTCACATCTCTTCCTCCAAGAATTTTCTGAGGGGACCCAGCATTATTACTTCTTCCTTCTTTGGTTGGTTAGAGGATTTCAGCCCCAAGGGGTCCCAGAATATAAGGAGACAAGAATCTAAAATTGGCCGTGCTGGGTTAAGTCCCATCATTGTAGTTTGGATGCCTCTGCAGTGGCCCCAACCAGGAGACAGAAGTACATACCTTTGATGTTATTATCCTCCAGCAATTTATACCTGAATTTTGCAAGTTAATTATTTGCTATATGAAGAAGTGCTTTCTTTGCCTGCCCTTTATCTCCTTCTAAAGAGGTTCATTGGACAATAATTCTTCAGTCTGAATGTTCTGAAGAACAAAGGAGAACTTCTCCCTCTTTGCTGTCTCCATTCATGCATGGTTTTATACATCTTGATCGTATACCACACTCCCACCTGACATCTTTCAGGCTAGATAGTAGCACAGAAAAGGCACTTAATGTGTCTTTGTTTTTTTTTAATCTGGAGACCTGAACTGTATGCAGCAATTTATATATGAACATATCATAAGGACATTACAGTGTTGGCATTTTTATTTTCAGTCACTTTCCTAATGATCCATAGCATGCAGTTTGCCTTCTTCACAGCTGCTGCATATAGAATTGGCATCTCCTGGGTGCTAGTCACCATAACATACCAATTTTTTTTTTCCTGGGTAGTTACAGACGTCTCAGAAGCTAGAGGCTTTTTGCCCTAATCTGTCATCTGCCATCAGGGTGACTGTTCATCCAGTTTAAAGAGGTCTTTCTACAGCTATTTTGGAGAGGCTTTGTGATCAATAAAGTAACATGATAGCATCTGCCTTTAGACTCGCTATTTAAAAGATGTAATATGCAGCCTACAAAAAAAAAGTACTGGGGAGGAAGAAAACAATAAAAAAGACAAATGAAAATTACACTTCTTATAATGGCTCGATAGGAACAAGTCAATAGGTCTGAGTGAATGCTTTGAGTGGAGACTAGTAGAATCTGGCCTCAGCAAACAGATGGAAAACTACTTCTTCTATTGCCTCTCCTTCCTGCGCTCAGAAATAACCTGGAAGGATTTTGAAATATACAATATATCTGTCTTTTCAGTTTTCTCCTGGTGTATAATTAGTTAAATATAATAGCCCTGGTATACACCCAGATTTAGTGGATCTCCAGCTGAAGGAAAACTTTCGTAATACTTTTTGCTTATTTATGAAACTTTGTATGATTTGACTTCCAGGGTTAAACAAGCACAAAACTCTACATTCTCTACTCAAGAACGTCAAGTATATATTTCTTTTATAGATGCCTCCTGGGTTTGAAAATATCTAGAAGAATCGAAAAACAAATTGGCTATCATCCCTTAATAAATAAGCCTTTCTGTCTTTCTTAGGTGATTACAAATTATATGGGTCAGCCAGCCAGTCCAAAGAACATAAGATAAATGTGAATAAAGAGATGGTCAATAGGTTAACCACCTCTGCAGCCCATGAACCAGATGTTCATCATGAGAAATATGAAGCTTTCCAACTTTCAGAGGTCTGCTTTGAGCCTGAGAAAATTCCTGCAAGCCCACTGACTCTCAGGGTAAAATATCCACATTCCCTGCTAACTCTTCATATGGTTATTGATATGATTATTTCCTTGGAAATCCACTAGGGGTAAAAAGACATTTATTGCTCCTGTATCTTTTTAAAAGCAGCAAAACAATAGTTTTATGAACGTGCTCTTATTGCTGAGAAGCAATTTGCTTACATGATACACTGAGAACTGAATTTGGAAGTGACTTATCTAGTATCCTGGTTAATTATGCTAAATATTATGCTAATATTTGCATATGTTGTATACTTTTTCTTACCATCTCCCTCAGGGGTGGGTTCTACTTACCTTTACTACCGGTTCGCAGTGGGACTGCGCGTGCGTGCTTGCTTTGCTTGCACATGCGCTATTCTGCACACACGCTATCTGCGCATGCACAGAAGTGTTTTGATGACGTTGGGGTCAGTGGGCGGAGCCTCCCGCCGATTTTATTACTGGTTCTATAGAACCAGTACGAACCGGGGGCAACCCACCACTGATCTCCCTCCTCATTATTTACAATTATTATTAATCTGGTAATTCCCCTTAACTGCAGAAGATTAGGTGAATACAACTAGCTCTGGGAAAATATCTCTCTTTCTCAAATTCAGAATACTGAATTTTTCAGAGGCCAGAGCAATTATGTAAAGAAGATGGATGCACATGTGGTTGCAGCCATAATCTGCCCCACTGAGGTTGGAGGGGTGGGGTTTTTTTTGGCTTTTGAATTATATTAAGTATATTTAAGTGTTTACATTACAATTCCTGGGTATTTTTTTATCCTCAAAATAGCAGAAAACCAACTTATTTTCAGTAATAGACGTTGAAGTAGGCTCAGGGGATTATTTTATGTGTGGTCCTGGGAATTTGAGCTGTCCATCCTGGTTTTAAATAACACATGCAAAATATAGTCCATTCAAGTATTAGACTTGCGTAAGATATGCAAGATTGAATAAAGGGATCGGGTCTTGTATGCCCACCTGTTCCTTATTTCTTTATATATAGTGGTCTTTCACCCAGTCTACCATTTTTTTGAGTTCTGTAATGAGTTTTTACTTGCACTTACTTCAGGAAAACCATGTTGGTTATACACAGGCTTCTATTCAAATTCCCAATGTAAGTAATATTGGAACATAGGAAATTGAAGACATTTCACGTCCTCTTCAATTCTTTATTATTACATTCTTATTTTATTGTAAGACAGCCGGAATTGCTTTGGATAGTGAGATGGGCAGCATAAAAAATAAATAAATAAATAAATAAAATACCCTACTAGAACAAAATGAACAAATTTGATTAAGGAATATGTGCACAGCACTAGTTATCTGCTCTCATACATTTGGTAAAAGCCAGTACCCATTTGTTCTATGAAGTTGCACAGTCTACATTGCCAAAAGTTGCCCCATTACAGCCACTACATCTAGTTTCAAATGATTTGAAATGATTTGAAAAGAAAACTTCCTGATCCTTTCCTGGGAGAATAGAAAAATATCACTACGGGTGACTGAATGATGTCCTTTTTATTTCTGCTTATTTCAGGAGGCACTGGAAGTTCACAAGCCTCATTTTATTTCCCGCTCACAAGAACGATTAAAAAAACTTGAACACATAGTACAACTGAGGAAAGCACAATGTGAAAGTGAGAATTTGGGGAAAAAACAAGGAACTGATCTATCCTGCAAGCTTTCCTCAACTTCCATTACAAGTAAGAAGAAACAATATACAGTTCCTCATCCACTGAGTGGTAAGTTGAGTTATGTAAACTCCATTCAGCCTGCTGCAAAATTTGTCTTTTGTCTTATGCATATATGCTACTCTTTGCCACATTTTTGAAACTGTGCATCATTGCTTTCACTATTGGTGATATGGCTAAATATCACGTTCATATTTATTTACTTATTTGCTCTTTTATGTATTGGCAAATTTAAACGGTAGCAGTTTCCAATGTAATAATACATTTTACAATGTACTGTAAAATCCCAAATAAAAACAAAAAAAATTCAGTTTTAAAAAAATCAAAATAAGGGAGTTGTTGGTTTATATTGATGTATTAATCTATAATCCCTTCAATTCTTTGCAACAAATTGATTCTGCTCTCCTTTTCCCACCCATTGTTTCTAAAAGGGGGAATTATTTTTCCTCGTAGTATATTTTGGGGTAGGATAGGCAGTATGGTACTTTTAGGTTTCAGTGTGCTCAAGGATATTTCCCTGTCCCCGCCCATTTTAATTAGAATTTGTCTAATTAAATGGAGGAGGAAATTGAAATAGATCACAAGTCTGTAGCGTCATTTGTATTGATAAAAATGTCAATATAGGATACACTCGTACCCACATGTTGTAGGTCCCATAAACATTGGTTGAATGGAAATGATTGATTGTTGCAGTCCAGACATTTGTTTAGAAATAGGTCCATCTTCCTGGGGGGAAACAGACAAAGGCAAACAGGGCAATCAAGTCTATAGTGGGAGTGAGGAGGAGCTCAAGAGACTGATAAGGACACCCTCATCAGATGTGATGATATGTGGGAATGATCCTGGGAGATAGGGGGAAGCTTTAGCAGTGGTTGGATAAGAGGCAGCTCAGTCCTCACTTGGGAAAAGCATAGGAAATGTTTTGGAAGACACTCTTCCTGATTTTCTAGAAACTAAAAAGAGCGAAAGGGAGAAATATTTTCAATCTTGTGAGATTCTGTTTAATGTAACCTTAAAATAAAATGTTCCCAGTTTTGCTTGTTGTCTGGACTATCCTGAAAGATAACATCCATCTTACAAAGTATTTCTCCCCTCCTCTCATTTTAGTCTGTCTTAGATGTATTTCAAGTAGAAATACTCTGAAGGCTGATTTACTAGGGATGGTCTCTTCTAAAACACTTCCTGTGGGGACTCTTATCAGACTATTGCCTAGGCTGGAGACCTTCCTCCTGCCTCTTAAAATCATTCCCACATACCATTACACCAGGTAAATCCCCTTCAGGTCAATTGTTATACTGTGATTGGCCTCATTCCCCAGGGCAGCCATTTTGTGAGAGTGTCTATAACATTCTTCTAAAATTCCAGATAATGGAATAATGGCCCATTAAAATTGTTTGTCCCTAGTATATTTGGACAAATTAACTATCTTAACCTACCTAGCTCTTGTGTGTTGACATGATAGTTAATTATTGTTATCTGGAAGGTGTCTTATAATTTCGATATTCATTAAAGTGTTAGAAACATGTTTTAAAAATACTTATTTTAAAACAAAGTAGAAGAACAGCCTTTCATTCCTTAACAGCTCAACAACAGACATAGAAAGGATAGAATCTTAAAATGGTTATTATTCAGATTTTCTTACAATCTGAAAAGATTCTTCTACTTTCCCCTGGAATCCGGGTAAATATTCACTGATGTGACTTGTAGTTATAACTTCGAAATTCTGTTCTTGCTGGGTAAAAAAAGAGAAAAGACATGGATAAAAGGATGGTAAGAATGCTTGAATATTGAATATTTGTTTCTTACATTTAGGAGCTCTGATAATTATGGTTTCATCTGGTGAGTCCTGAGCAGTTTTAGATTAATTGATCTTGTTGCTTTAAATTGTAACTGTTGTTTTTGAAAGCTTTTGTTTTGAAAGTTATTTAAATGGATAGATTGTTCAGTGGAGAATAAACCACATGCTGGCTGGAGGTAATGGACGTTGAAGCCATATCAGGTCAAGCTGTTGATGGATTAGCTAGAAATCACCTTATAAGGGCATCTTGTCTCTGTTCAGCAGCTGAACCAATAAGTTTCGCCTTAGATGCTGTTCAAGTTGAAATACTCTGAAGGCTGATTTTCAGCTGGCAACGCTGGAGCTTTGTAGTATTCGTGGGCAAGCTGCTTCCCCATAGAAAGAAACTCTTATCTCATTGCTCCTTCCTGTTCCTGATTCTGCATCTCTTAGGTCCTGTAGGTTGCATGCTGACTTGTCAATATTCCATTTTCTCCTCAGCAGTCTTAGCAGATCCAACCCATGAGAAATTGCCAGTATCCTCTTTCTCTATTGCAGGGGAACAGCTTTATGTAAATCAAGGCTTTTTCTATTATTATGGTTGGTCACACTATCAGTCAGATGTTGAGACTGGGTTTGGTACCTTTATTTACCTATCAAATCTTTCCCAAGGACCTGAGAGAGGCAGATGTTGTTGTTTGATGGTGTTAAAGGTATTGTTGCAGGATGTACCCTATTTTCGGAGTATAAGACTCCGAAAAATCTTATACTCCGGTGTGAGTATAAGACACACCTTAGTTTTTGGGGAGGAAAATAAGAAAAAAGCTGATTGGCAGGTGGATTGGCCTCCGGAATACCCCCAATCAGCTGTTCTCAGAGGTGAATTTTAGCAACAGGCTCCTTGGTTGTGAGCTCTGTGCCTTGCTTTTTTTTTTTTTTTTTTTGGCTTTTTTTTCCTGCCTCTGAAAGCCTCCGAAACAGAGCTTCAGAAAAAAAGCCTCTGAAGCTCTGTTTGGGGGCTTCTTTTCTGAAGCATCGTTTCTGATGCTTTTTTCAGCCTCTGAAACCTCTGTTTGAGAAGCTGGCCGGGGCTACATTTGTAGTATAAGATGCACCCAGATTTTCACCCTCTTTTTGGGGCGGGGAAAGTGTGTCTTATACTCTGAAAAATACAGTAAGCTGTTCCAACTAAAGGTGCCTTTTGCAATTGACTGATGGTGATTTTGTCAATGCCAGTTGTGTTCAAGTGGTGCTCCAGATGTTTGAGATTGCACCCAAGATGTCCATTACTTACTGCGTTTGCTTTCTTTTGCCACAGCCATTCTATTTGCAGGTCTTTAGTATTTTGTGATTTTTCTCCAGTTTGTTCTCTTGTCTTCTGCTGTCTCCAGCAGAACATCCAATATCCGAATTTTTTTGTCTTTCTTATCAACAATTGTTGAATCTGTGGTGTTATGAGGCAGGTTCTGGCCTGTTTGAATTGTACAGTATATGTGATCGGCTGGATGGTATAGATTTAAATAAAAGACATCATTTCATGAGTTCAGGAAACCTTTGAGTTCTATAGAACATTTTGTTTTGTAACAGTAAAGAAACTAGACAATAAAGAGATGCAGAACAGGTTCCAGCTGGATCAAATCCAGTAAATCTATTTCATAAAAATAATGAACATATTAATTCAGACAGGCATGTTTACTAAAAAAATTGACTATTTGAGACTTTCTTCTTCTCTGTCTTTGGCGGAGATTAGGGAGGGGATTTAATGGTTGCAGGATCTGAAAAGAGCAGGGCAGTTATTTTTGTTCCTTGTTTTCAGAAAATTATTCAGAAATTATTCTCAAACTGTTTTTAAGAATAGGGGAGTGGAATTGGCAGTAAAGTAAAAATTCCCTAGGAATCTTGCTTCAGCATTTTTCTTCCAGTTTCAAGTACTGTAGATTGGCTCATCTAAAAGCATCTCTCTCATCTAAACAGAACATCCAGATAATCTGTCTGTTTCCTAGAGGAGGACCATTCAGACATTATTCCTATGTCAGAAAACCATTACTGGGTGTGCCCTAGAGATAAACAACCCATCTCCAGGAAATCCGTAATATTTAAATTCCCCTTACATTTAAGGAGTATTTTGGATATTCTCTGCCATTTATTCTGTGGCCAGGACTAATGTTCTTAGAGAAATAGAAATGTCTTTGGCTAAAATATTAAATGAGCAAATACTTAAATTGTTTTTTAAAAAGAGAAAGTCTTGCTTGGCCCTATTTTTCTGGATTGCTGGATCTGTTGTGGCTTTCCCAACATTGTAGGATACTACTTCATGGATGAATAACATGGGTGATCTCCCTCAGTTATCATGAATTATGATGTCACAATATAGATAAATATATATATATATATATACAGATAATGAAAATTCAAACAAGAAAATGAGCAGTTTTGTAAGAAATCTAAAACATAACCAAAAAATATGAAGACTGCCGAATACTAAACTAAGTGAATACTTTCATTAAGATTTCCTCTATAACTTCACTGTATGTGCAGGTTTGCATTCAATTGCTACATGTCTCAGGTACATCAGTTCTGCTAAGTAAAATTCATGTTTATGATAAGAATTTTAAACATAAATTTTTACTTTGGCTCACAAAAGCTTTTGATGGAGCTAATGTTGTAGTGGAAATGTCTAAACTAGATATCCAAATGTTTTTCTCTTAAGAATTAAGTTCCTGAAAATACTGGGAAGTAGCAACATGTTTTAAATAATTTATGTTGACAAGCAAACACTTTTAAATTAAAAATGATTCTGCATAGCGCTAGACTATATCATAAAGGAAATATTTAAATCATGGTACCATCTTCCATACAGTTTAAAAAGCATCAGCAAACTATTTCTTGCTTCACTAATAATATCTGTCAGAAGAAATCTGTTCGGGCAGGAAAGGGCAACATTAATATATGAATTAATCTCTCAGATTTATTTGTGTAAAATTAATCTTGTCAGATTAATTAGTTTAAAAACCAATCATGTCAGTTGACTGACCCTCCCAGTCCATTCATAAATGCAGTGTGGGATTCAGCTGCATGGAAGCAAGGCCATGTAATTTAGGTTTAAGCATAAGATCAAACAGAACACATTTTTGGGTTCATGTTGTCTTTGGACTATGGTTGTAGGCTAAAAGAGTACTTTCTGTACCTCAAATAATAGTAATTTAACAAATCGTGCTACATTCTTAGAAAAATTGGGAGTCCTATGTGTGATTTTTGAACCAATATGAAATGG